TACCAGATGTAAGGAGTTTTGACCGATGCTCATATGGAAGGAGGCCGGGCACCACTGGACTGGGCCATTTCTGCGCGGGACCGGGCAGGCACGAACCGTCAACTTGGACATCTGCTCTGTTGCAAGCACGAGGGGTGCAGCGGGCGAGGGGCAACACGGCCTGCATATCGTTGGGCACAATATTAACAATGTTAGGCAGCTGATCGACAGAGACTTCCAGCTAGCAATGCTGCCGCCATTATGGGTATTGGCATGTTTCCCTTGCCGCCCTTCTTGCCGCCAACTGCCGAGCCTGGTACAAAAAATGGCTCTGTCCTGGCCCCTCGTGTTGTGGCACATGTGTTGGTTGTGCGTGGCGGACGTTATGCTCGAATCCCATTTCATGAGAATCGCGCTAGCAAATCCTGGATGGATTCTGCTCGGGATGATGGCTGATCTTGCGCGCCCTTTGCAAACAGGTTGATTGCGCAAACAATCTGTGGCTTCGGCGCGGCAACCAAAATAAGAGCATTTGCGCCGTGCGGGCGCGTACATGTCGTGCTTGTACCACACCACAGTTGCGTAGTGAAGTTTGCGCTGGATGTTTTGGTGTTTTCGACGAATTCGGAATCCATCCCCAAAAACGCAATTCAGGCCTACCGCGTGCTCGTGAAATCTCCTGAACGTTTCCTGACAGAACCTTTGCACAGCAATAATACTCAGGGATACTCAGGGCATGTGTGACACAAGTCATCCCTGCGATGGAGCTGAAATACGCGGAATGCTGACCGAACTCCTTAATTGCAATGGAAATGCTTGCTTAAATGATGGTCCAAGCATGCGTGCAGGCCCGCGCATCCATTGCCATCGTCATCAACGTGCCAACCATTTGTGGACACATCCGCCGAATTTTGCGCGTGGAATTCCAATTGGGCGTGTTGGGCGTGGAATTTGGAGACGACGTTGTTGCACGTACGTGTGTCTGTTGAGCCCGTTGAGCTTGCCGTGGAATTGGCGTGGAATTTAAAGAGCAAAGGGCTCAATAGTTTCTACAAAATTTCACGCATTCTTCACGACAAACTTCCCGGGGCCTCTTGGAAAAATTTCACGTTGAACTCCGCCAGACGATTCTCCACTGATTCTCCACAATCAATCTCATCAACATTTCACGAGCGTCTGCTTCCAAGCCACCACCGGCAAAGGTGGAAGTGGAAGCTAACCATTGATGCGGCAACTCGCGCGTATGAATTGTGACCTCGTTCAGCTTCTGGTGCGTGGGGATGGTTTTGCCCCCTTGCTCAAAGCTCTTCCAGGCACTGCACGAGTTCTGAGACACCATGTTCTCCGCAATCTCATGGAAATCCTCCTGAAAGAAAGCTTGTCAGCAGTTGCGCCTGCTTGCCGACCCCACAAGTCATCAGTTCGATGCAAGACAACATTTTGATTTTACAAAACTTCACGGAAATTCCACCCTGCGAAAAACCGCCATAATACATGGGGTCACGCTTCAGGAGGCTTGTGCAGAGCTCAGCAGATCAGGATCTGTATGCGAAACGGCTTGCAATGGTGTAACCACATCTGTCTGTGGCTCAAAGTCGCGGACGGATTAAAAAGTCCAAGACTGAAACAGTGGGGGCAAGGCAGATGCAGAAGCAACATCTGGAATTGTAGCCTCCGGCTTGCTACATGAAAGCCGCGCCGCAAAGTAGGCGGAGACGACGGGAGAAAGCGCCATGGGGGAGATTAATGCGGAGCCATACTCCCCAGGCCCCAGGCACTTGTGCCCTCAATACGCACTTGCGGGGTGAAAACGCCCATCCGCAATTAGTGCATTAATTCGGGACACGAACGAACTTCGGGATATGTGAACAAACCTTGTGAAGTGTATTTGACCGTATATATATATATATCTATCTATTATAAGAGGAATCAGACGCTGTCTCAACAGCACAGTCTGCATGGCGTCTGCATCGGTGGCTCGCTTCGGCTGCTCTCACGCAAACCGGGGCTGTCACGGCATTATTGGATCAAATCACATGCTGTGAACCTGCAGTTCGGGGGAGCATCGAAAGTAAAGTGTCTGATGAGGGAGTTGCCGGAAACAAATGCAAAGGATCGGCCGGAAGTGCGAGTTGCTCACAGTTGGCCCCATGTCCTGCGAGGACACACCGGGCCTCTGCAGGCCCTCCAATGGATTCGATGTGGCTCCATAAAATGGGCGCTGTCCAACCCCAATTCCACCCCCCCGTCCGTCCCCATCTCCCCTTGTGCATCAGCTTGGGTTTCTTACAGGTGGTACGTAAGGAATAAGCGAATTTAAGCTTTAGATAATTCCTATAGCATATAGTCCCCTATTCCCAGTAAAGTGAGTTTTCGACCCATCACCACCGAAGATCCGCTTGCAGCGGGTCTGTGCTAGCGTTACTCAGACAGTTGGATTAACAGTGGCGGACACAATGGACATGTGACAGGCCATGCAGAAGCCAGGCGATCCTTTCTATCGATCATTTGCGCAGAGTTGTCCACATCAAGCAGGCGAAGCGCAAACTCGGTGAAACACGGATGCACGAATTGTGTGTCGGAGCCAAACCCAACATTGGCAGACGAAGCTCTGTCAAGCAATTGCATAAGGCACTCTCAACAACGTGACAGCATGCAAAACTTCATAGACTTGGATAGTTATGGTTCCAAATCGCCTTGGATAGTTATGGTTCCAAATCGCCTGCTGCTTGCCCGAGCATGCACGAGCTCTACCACAAATTTGTTTGTGGCATGCAGGCAACCTGAGGGTTGCAAAAGGTGGGGTGCAGCGAGTTTGCTTCAGGCTCTTTGGCAAGAGGGAACAGCGAAGTGCACTTACTGGCAATTCTGAAGCAAACTCGTGCGACACAACTCCAGCTCTCTGCAACCATGTGATGCTGGTGAGGTGTGGCACAGGGAGAGCTACTTACGAAGTGCGTGCATACGGGAGATGCCTGCGACTACTTGGTACAACTTATAAAGTGGCACAGGAGTATGTTTACCAGAAGCCTGCCTGAAAATCACAAGCAAGCCTTTACATTCAGCTTACGATCCAGGGCCAGTTTAAGGTTTAGGGTACACCTCACACAGCGACAAGAAGCTTCCCCTTGCAAACAGTTTCCAATGCAAATTGGTTCAGCATGACTGGGAAAATCATCACTTTGCCGCATCGACACGGACCATATCCACCAACGCTTGGCACATATCCGTTGTGACCCGACTGTTTTCGTGATGCAAGACAAGAATTGCACAAGCGTTGCTTCAAACGGTGCCCATCGGTGATTATTTCCTAAGCGTACACAATAGGCTTTCAAAGATGCGAAGGCCAAGGCGGCCCCGCACTTATCGGCTGGCTTTGCAGAAGGTGCTGCCGACGTCAGCAGCGGCATGGTTACAGTTGATGATCTCGGCATGCATTTAGCGTTATATAGGGGTTATATTGGGATAATGGAAAGTAAAATGGAAACTACTATTTAGGGTTTAGGGTATAGGGTTCATGCATGGTGCAGAGTGCGACTCCAACCTATTCTGGGTGATACCTTCAACGGCATCCTAAACTACTCATAAACAGTTCGCCTTATCAAGAGATAGGGGAAATTCATGATTATCCTAAACGGCCATCTAGCGTGCAAGGAAATGCGTCCACATTATTCAGCTCAAACCCCGTCCAACGTCCAAAGGAGACCCCTTTTCCCTACCATGGGTTAGTAGGGAATAAGTGAATCTATTATAGAGGAAATATACAGGGATTGTATTCTCTTATTCCCTACTACCCACCAGCAAGTTTAGAAGCTTGGAAACTGTTGCTACACTTTTGCCCCTAGACCTCTTGATCATACAAGCGTCGCGACATCTTGGTCTGATGCATCAAGTAGTGCAACAACTCATTCCTACATCCTGAGCCCTACCTAAACCCCCAAAGTATGTAAAATACTGGCCCTAAAACCCTCATAATGGCCACAAAGGCCATTAGTCTACATACTTTTTGGGTGCAGGTAGACATCATCCCCTTAAGCTGCCACGGCAAGGCGCATTGGTGAAATCATCCAGGGTGAACGACTTGCCGCTGACCACAGAGGTGGCGCCACTAAGCACGACGGTGCCAGTACCAGTCTGGAATTGTCCAGTGCCTGCAAGGATATATTGGGGTTATATTGGGGTTATAGGATCGATTGGGAAAATGGGATTATAGGGATTCTAGAAGAAGATCCTGGTTTTCCAGAAATTACCAGGACCACATATACAAGCGGCTCACTTCGGTCTTCATAACCTAGACACTCATCTTGGTGATGGGCTGAATCGCGTAAGGTAAGGAGCCCGAGAATGGGGTTTGGGTTGCATTCTCCACTACTTTTACATTAGGATCTGGGAGGGAATGCTATTGCTCACCTGTTTGGCTTCGGCTCCTAAACCCTAAACCCCTGAAGTAACTCTATTATAACCCCTATAATCCCTGTAGTTTCCATTTTCTTTTCTATTATTCCTAAACCCCTAAATTAAATCTAAACCCTAAATGGCGCCTGTGTTTGCCATAATGAGGTCCTTGTTAGCTGCCACACCAATATCGCCATTCAGGGTGATCGCGCCTGTGGCTGTGGAGAACCTTGCGACACGGGGGCTCCGACCGGGAAAATTGGTAGAATCAGACGTAAAGTTGATATCCCGAAGTAGGTATATATGGGGGTTTCCCGAAATCCGGGGTACCTTTTTGGGGGTCCCCATAATAAGGATTACAGTATTTTGGGGTCTACATTGGGGTCCCCCCATTTAGGGAAACTACCGTATAGCTTGGGCGACTTTTTCGGTTGGATTTCATCTCAGGACTCAGCACCTTAAACCCTGCCTGAACCTCAACAGAATTTAGATTATAATTGCATGTTGGGCTGTTTTTAATTCTTTTTTAAAAGCGGTTTTGGGCGATTTATTCTACCTACTTTTTGGGGAAAAGGCGGCAAGACTGAGAGACTCTGGGCAGCTACTCGGGGAGGTTCGCAGAACCAGGCTTTCCCTCTGCAGGGCCAGATACTATAGGGTTTAGGGTTTAGGGGTTATCAGAGTTATGTGGGTGTACTGGAAGAGAAAATGGAAACTAAAGCATTTAGGGTTTAGGATGGCTTAGGGTTTAGGAATAGGACCCCCCCAAAATGGAGAATCCAATAAAGAAGAGAATGGAACGTGAACTGGAGCCTGGGATTAAATAGGTGTTATAGGGATGATGGAATGAATGTAGGGGCCTGCATTGATTACCGACACACTTTTGAGGTCTCTTCGAGGTACCATACACCACCATTACACACGGAATCTGAGACCATAACGTCAGTCATCATTTACTTCCTTATAGATCAGTCTGACCATTCTTCCTGCTCCTTCTGCTGATCCCCCCGAAAATGTAAGCCCACCACCTATTTTGAATAATCCCCATTGTGGTTCCTTTTAATATATTGGGAGTTCTTAATATTAGGGGGGGGGGGTGATATTGTGGGGAAGGGATTACAATGCTTTCTGCCGGGCTTCGTCTTGGCAGTGCCATCTTGGTCGTCGTAGAAATTTACATTTCCATAGACCTTGCGTGGAGCACGAGGCACAAAGCTACGTCTAAGAGTTTCCCAAAATTAGGGGGGCCCCATAACGACGACTACAGTATTTCGGGGTCTATATTGGGCCCCCCTTTTTAGGGGAACTACTATTTGATCATGCTGCATCAGTCTAACTGTAACCGTAAGCCTAATCCCCTGGAGTTCGAGCTCTGCTTCAGAATCTGAGGCTCTGGGTGTGGCTTCAACACCATGACCTCCCCTACAGAAAAGCTTCTGAAATGGGGGACCTCTGCTTTGAACACTTCCATCTGATCATTCGGGTTTTGGGTTCAGGGTTTAATTTGGATTTGAGGCCCCATGGCTGAAAGCTTGCAGGGTTTAGGTAAGGCCCCCCACCCACAAATTGTGGGCACAAGACATGATGTCTGACATATTATGTTCCAAGTACACGCCAGCCAGGGATCACCTGCGGTGTAGGCTTTACGGCTTGAAGTTTGGGGGAGAAAGCCATGCAATTAACCCGGCCCTAAACCCTAAACCCCTAGATAAACCGGGCAGCATCGGTTCATGCTCGGGCTTATGTATGATTGTGGGCGTGCGGCATCAAGCATTTCGGGCTGAAAATGCACCAAAACCAAGTGGACCTTTCCCAAAACTATGGGTACCCTTTTTGGGGGTTCCTATAATAAGGACTATAAATCTTATGGGCTTATATTGGGGTCCCCATTGAAAGGAGCTCCGGAACTCCCATATATCAACGAACATCTTGTGATTGCCTACGAAGCCCTAAGTAGTTGCGCTAAACCCTAACCAACCCTGGTCACAACTCCAGCTGGGCGTCCTTCAGCGAACTGGAGGCGCCATTGATGGCGGCTGGCAAGGGTGCACGGTCTTTTACAAGGAGATTCTGGCGGAAAAGGCTAGGAAAACAGCTTACAACTTTGGGAACAGGTGCTCCTCAATGACCACTAATTACTGGGATTCGTGGTTGGGGAAGTGGGGCACATCATGCCCAAAATCCTGACAGGACCTTGGCTGCCAGTCCTATTGAATGGTGACTGGTACTTCTGGTAACCCTCAGGAGCTGAGCGTGATGAAGGATCGAAGCGAGAAGGGCCTTTAAAAACGGGTGAAGTGCCGAACGGTTGACACCTTGTGGGCCTCTTAACTATAGCGCAGGTCCTGGCAACAAGAAACGCCACCTAATGCCTACATGCACGGGTGCAGGTTGTCACTAACCCACTTCTTTTTGCGAGTTGTTGGCCAAGGTACGCAATGTGCGTTGTTAGTATCACGCCTGTATTCTTGCTCATGGTGCAAACGTTGCTCTATAGCACGGCGCCACTGTGCATGTATGGTGTATACGAGTACATTGCCCTTGCAACCTCTGTGCATTTCAGACTTTTGAAGCACTGCACGTGGCTCGCCAATGTCTTGACACTTGGTAGGCTACGCTTTGCAGGACAAAACAGAGGTGTCAACGCCCCAGGACACCATGGAATTCCAGGACTATCCTGCAATTACGGTCACTGTTTAATCACAGAACAATCATGAGGGATAGTACTGGCGATTTTTCAGGCGTCTAGAATAAATACCCTTTTTTGAAAAGCGTACCCTTTTTCCTAATGTTCAGCTTCAATCAGGAGTCCCCAAACTAAAAAAAAGGGAAGAACGATACGACTGGGTTACCTAGATAATGAAAACCCAACCCTTATAAGCCCCAAAAGTCCAAGCTTTCGGACCCTAAACCCTAAAGCTTAAATGGTGTACAGGGGTGCCTAGAATACTGACCTGCAGACGCCCCCAGTCCTAAGGCGCTGGCTGGATCCTACCGTCGTGTCTCCGAACCTTGGAGCAGAAGCTCGTGTCGCATCTAATTAGGGTTTATAGGGTTTAGAGTTTAGGGTTTATGGTGCTGCCTAAAGTCCTAACCATGGGCCCCTAGTGTGGGGCCTTACCTGTTTGCTGCGTCCGAGTTATGGGCCCTTAAAGCCAACCTTCGGGAATGCCCCCAGCCTGCAAAAATCAGATGTTAGGATCATTCTACAACCATGGCATTTCTACAATGACAATAGTTGAGTAGTGTTCTTTTGGTGGTTGAACCTAGTAAGATAATATTCCTTATATAAAATACTACACCCCAAAAGGAGGATATAATCTTACTCTATATTGGGTATCATAGTATCCCCAACTAAAATACTACACAGTTGGGGTGGGGTTCAGTCTGGGTTTCGGTCTAGGGCTTCGTCCGCTACTGGCTCGTGTTCATGCGCAGCCTGGGTTCAGACAACCCATACAAGAATAACTGACTGGTGTCTAGTAGAGAATCAGGGAATGCACCCCTTATAAAATCCTTGTATACTATATTCTCGTATTCCCTACTAACCCAAAACCCTAAACAGTGGTTTCCATTTTGTTTTCCATTATCCTTATATATCCAATGCTATACCCTATATTCCCGTACTCCTTGCTAGCCCCCAGTAAGATACTCGAGCAGCCAAGGCGTTCTGAGAATAGTCTGCTCATAGTTCATGTCTCATTGACAGCAATATGAGATACAGTCTGAACTTTTCAAAGGGGGTTATATCAAAGATTATATGAGGACTTTATAGGTGTTTATTGAGGGGGATACTGGAAGTTTAGACTATAGCCCTTGTCATCATTAGCAAGTGCGAACCTTTCCAGCTACGGCTGCTAGCACTTGATTCCATTTGAGCCATAGTCTAAATAACACCAAAAAAATCACCCGCCAAATCCCTAAAAGTAGCTCGCTTACTATTTCATTCTAGTCACCCCGGATTGAGAAGTCCCGGGGTGGGGGGCAAACCAAAAACGTATCCAATTTTGGGCTTGGGGTTCAGGGTTGTGGGGTTTAGGGTGCGTAAGAGGGGGATCACGCAGTAGACTGCCTGCCTCTCCCGGCCTGAACCTCCCGTGAGTAGGCAAGGTTGATGTTATGGACCTTTTTTGAAACTATGACATGACAAGGAAAACCCACTACTTACTATATATCCGTAATATGGTAACTTAAACCCTAAGCCCTGAACTCTCAGCCCTAACTTAATTTCATTATTTACTATTATATACCCATGACAGTATGACAGCTTAAATTACATACCCTAAGCCCTAAACCCTAAAACCCTAAACCCTAAACCCGAAAACCCTAAAACCCTAAACCCTAAACATCAAATGTGCTACTGTCTAAACTCCTAGTATCCCCCTTAATAACCCCTATAGTAGTCCCCTATATAATCCCCTATATAACCCCCTTTAAGGAGTTTAGACTATAGCTCAAATGAGCAAGCCAGCAAGTTTGAGCCTGAGCTGGGGACAGTTGTACAACGCCTCCGGCTCCAACGCTGCCGACGGATAGGGGCTGGTTATCCGCCTTGCGGATGACTCAGGGTTTAAAGGTTTTGGGTTTAGGGGTAAACCCTAAACCCTAAACCCTAAGCCATCAATGCTAGCTTTTTGGTTAGTGGAGCAGGCAGGAAGCGATGGGGCACGTGCTAGAGTTCGAACGGGGGTCATTTATCTGAACCCCACATGCAGTTTAGGGTTTAGGGCTTAAGCCCAAAACCCCTTAAAAGCGGTCTGAAAGGCAATTATTCTACATACTTTGGAGGTGCAAGTATAGTCTAGGCTTTGGGATGTATGGTATTGGCGGCCAGGCGCGATCAGCTGTGAAAGGACTACTTAGAATTGGGTGGCTTTGTACGCCCTGAGCATGACCTTCTGTAGAAGGGACATCAACAAGAAACTACACACGTGTGTACACAATCAACTCTGATTGCTATGGATTTGCTCTTACTCGACGTGACAAAGCTGTAGAATGCATCGATCTGCTGTGACAACTACTGTTGGTGTACCAGAAAACCCTACTCAGGCCAGGTCCCCAAACAACCCCCAGAGTAGTAGCATCATTCGCATCAGGACGCCAAAGCCTCCATATCAACACACCCCCAATGTCTACAAGAAGGAGACCACAGGAGAGTCAAACTGTCCAAGGCTCTAGGAGCCATGAGCCGTAGCTCATAGTGTAGGGGCCTAACAATTCACCAGTATGATTCTGCAGTCCATTAGAATAATACTAGCAATTAGGCTTCTACATGAAGCCCACCACCGGACTCTGGTCAAACAGGTCAGGAGGACTACCACAACAGGCCCGTTCAGGTTGACTTGGCCGGTGCCAGTGCTGAAGGTGTTGGAGCCTCCCCTGGGTACAGATACGGCTTAGGGTTAAGTGTTTGGGACCCAAGGAAGCCCATGAGGGCTGCTCAAAGCAGAACCATTGCCTAGGGGTTGCAGGGACATGGGGATTTCCATGAGACTGTGAGGGTCACCATTTAATGCTCTGCAGGGATTTCGAGACGCTTCCACATGTAACCTTTTCCATAATGGAGAATGTGGAAATCGTGGCTGCCAGGGTCCGTCTGCATTTGGTTCATTGCTTGGCTCCCTGATTTGCTTTGGTGCTGGAAAAGCCCCGGTCTTTATCGCTGTTGGGATTCCTACGGGTCCGGTTCGGCTTCCTTGATCAAATGCTCAGACAGACTCTCCCCCTTGCCCAAGCAGAGCCGCCAATGTGATTTATCTGGGTAAGGGGGTCACTCCTCCATGCCTTGGGGTAAAGCCTCCCCAGAGCAAAGAGTTTTGCGAACACTTGTTTTAGGGAGCTTATATAGAAAAACTCAAAAATAATCTCAACGCAGTCTAAACCCGCTCAAGACAACTTCAGGACATTCGCCTGCAAGGCAAGGACATGACAAATGAGCAGAAACCTCTTGGCTGTTAAAGTGAGTTACATTCCTCTTATTCACTACTACAAAAGGAGAAGAAACAACTTGCTCCATATAGGTGGCCAAAAGTACCCCTACTTAAATACTACATAAGACGGAACTTATCAACAAACAGGGGGTCCCTAGCAACCTTACGGACATATGGGAATCATGGGCGTCCCCTTTTTCAGCATGATCAACAATTTTTGATAAGCTTCGACCCTAAGCCCTGGACCCTAAACCCCTCCTAAACCCTAACCTTTGGGTACTGCCCCCTCCCAGTAACAGTCTATATTAGGGGTTCTATTAAGGGCTATATATAACCAGAATATACTTATTTTTCTAACTGTTACTGAGGGGGGGCAGTACCCAAGATAAACTCCTAGACCCTAAACTTTTTCCTAAACCCCTAACCCTAAACCCTCATTTGGACAGGTCTCACTTGGGTGACGCCGTTTAAGGTGACCGATCCTGTGCCAGTCTGGAAGGTACCAGCACCGGTGGCCTTGAAAAGTTCTGTGTTTGGGTTTAGGGTTCAGACATCCTGAAGGAAATATGACAGTCTTGAGTCTTGAGTCGAGGGTCTACTCTTGCGCAGGGTCCCTTTTAGGCTTTTCTCTGAATCTCCATCTTTTACTTACTGGTGGATTGTAGGGAATGAGGAAACATGTTATGTAGGGATTGTGACGGGATTTTGGAGGGATGATATTCTCTTACCCGCTCCTAACCACCAGTAAGTTTGAGTATGGGTTCGCTCACCTTGGGAAACTATCATATGGACCTTGTTGGGGAACTCTTGTTTGTTCGCATTGAGTTGGCGACCTGCATCATCATGAAGTATTTATTGTTCAGGGTGTAGGATCTGGGTTTTTTTGGAGTTAGTTAGGGTTGAGGGTCTTGCACTGCTGATACAAGTCATTGCAACCCAAACCACAGTACTCCCCTGCAAGTTCTGGAAATTAAGTATGCCTCTAACCAGTAACTTCCCAAGAAACTGTAGCCCAACCCTAAACCCTAAACCGCAACGCAGACATCTGCGGCCCCATCACGAATCAACTTACTACCGCGGCCTAAATAGTTTCCAGTATGTCTGTGAGGTCTCTGTGATGTACCCTGTTGCACCGTGTTGCCATAGTCATAGTTATACAAGGAATCTAGGACCATCATAATGGGAATTGCGAAAGCTTCTACGAACCTGATCCCATGCTCATCGGATTGAGCTGGGTTTTCGACTTGGTCCCAGGTATGCATGATACGAAACCCCATTGCTACCAAGAACAGCAATCATAGTGTGATCCAGGCTAGAACTTTTTGAATTTGAGTGTCTTCCCAGTTTTGGTCAAGACGCAACCATGTGCAGATTCTTTCCAGTAGCAACCGTCACGTCCCCATTCCTTGGTAGCAAAAGGCATGGACGTCTGGCTCCTAAAATTACCAAAATAGCATGGCCAGGTCTATCTGAGGTACCCCATTTAGGGTTTAGGGTTTAGGGTACCCCATACTATAATCATAAAACTTAGAACCAAGTATTGGTAATCATCTAGGCCCCCGGTGGTACCCTAAACCTTACAAACCTCCACATGTGAACTCAATGTGAGCTATAGTTTAAGCTCCCAGTATCCCCCTCCGTAACCCCTCTAATACTCCCCTATATAACGCCCTTTGAGGAGTTGAGACTGTAACTCATGCGGGCAAAGCAGAGCAAGGTTCGCCCCCCCCCCCCAAAAGGGGAATGCTACCGCTCGAGAGGCTTCAAGATGGGAAACTGATGGAAAGTAGGGCCCACCGGTTTAGGGTTTAGGGTTTAGTAGGGTTCCCAAACGCACTGTCCTTGTGATCAGGTCCCCGTATCAGACCCAGGCAATACCTTCTTAGAACAACTTGGGATATGACCCCAAAATGCTAATTCTTAAACTTCTGGGGTATATAAGGCGATGAAAGGATTGTGGCCCATCATAATCCCAAGAATCCCCAGGAGTAGCCTCTGAACCCTACACCCCGTGTGTGTTAGCCAGGTGGCAGCTGAACCGATCCGGTTCCAGTTGTGAAAGCCGTCTGGGTCGCTCCCACATCTGCCTAGGGGAGGGTTAAAGGGTTTAGGGGTTTAGGGTTTAGGGTTGGGGGTTTAGGGTTCAGGGTTTAGGCTTCTGAGAGGGTCGGGGGGACTGAGCAAGCTTCAGTATACTTATGACTTATGACCCCATGAAAGCCATGTCGCAATCCTTGTTATTGCTCATTATCTACCTACCTACTAAGCCCCCCTGACCTTCTAAGCAGGTGGGATCAATTTCAGGGATCGTTGGGTCACTGAGGCACTCTTCGGAGTTCACAAAGATTGAGAGCCCAAGGCGCATGAGGACGGCGTACTCAGGCTTTGTAGGGCTTAGGCCCCCTGAAAGTAGCCCGAAAGGCCACTCTACATGGATTTGGGGGCCCAGGTGGGTATGTGCTTCTCAACTGTGCAGGTAACGGTGAATCCATCGACAGCTTCCCACTACGCACCCGCCTGAGTAATGTCTCCGTTCACGGTGCAGGAAGCGGCGCCTAGGATTCTCTGACGTCAATGGTGCCAATAATGTATTAGGGTTTAGGGCTTCGGGTTTAACAGTCCCCGTCCTTGAGGATTGTTCATGAGGACTCTATCATTTGGACCCATTTTGGGGAGTGTAACCCCAAACCCTAAATCCTAAACCCTGAACTGTATGTGGGGGACCATGCTTGGAAGATCCTCTCACATCTCCAACTTCTTCGGCCTGTTTTGTGAGCCCGGTATGGTAGGATTTTTTCCATAAGGATTACTTACTGGTGATTATTATAGTAAGGGCATAGTATAAGGGAATATACCACATAGGGGTTATATAGGATTTATCTTGTATTCCCTCATTCCCTACTAAGCCCCAGTAAGATTATGAGGGCTTGTCGTCAGAAAATGCCTTCTCGGCTCGTCACCTGCCTTGCGGAGAAGCGAAAAGCACGACTGGCCTTCCTGTACATCAGGCAGCTCCATTTTGCAAACAAGCCACTTGCATGCTCGACGAAAGAATCGCTGACCCCAACTAAATAAGTTTGTTTGCATCAGGCCGCAAGAACACGAACTAGCACAAAAAACACGTGTATTTGCCTCCACCTTGAAAACTGTAATCACTAGCACCAGCAGGTATCACATGTTCCCCAGATGCTCTGAAAGAAGACTCAGTCATAGGCCCACCTTCTGCACGGGACGTGATTCTTTGATATGGCTTGGCGGAGTTTGGTTCCAGCGCAGAAGCCTGAGTGATTTATGGATATCATCCCCTAACATCCTTGCATAAGGCGACCTTTGTAGCTGTCTGCCCTGTCTGTATCGTCTTAGCGCTGCTTTGTGCCGCACTGCGCGTGATGACCCCTTGTCAGGTGCAGCCGATGATGATCACAGTTGGCATCAAGATGCCGGTGCTGTCACCAATGACGACGTTTCCGTACAGGGTTGTGGTACCACCTTCGCACCATGGACATCAAGCCAACTTGCTTGCACAAAGTGCTGATGGAAAACACTCTGACAGCAATGCAAAAAATGCCGTGCAGTTTTCTCGCAACACTGACAAACACTCATGACCAGGTTGATGTTTTTGGCAAGACATGGGCTGACCTCACCTTGTATGAGCCACAGTCTAAGCTCCTGGTAACCACCTTGCCCTTTTCAATTGTGCGCCAGGGCATACACTCATGGTTAAGGGTTGAAGGGTATGTGCCATAGGCTACTCCCGAATCGAAGGCTTTCACTAGCATCGAGCCTGCTCCAGCAGAACCCACAGTGAAGGTAATCCTTGGTTCGTCTGTCAAGCGCGTGGCCGCATCAGCTTAATGTGAAACAAGTTACAAGTGCGGTTATGCCTTCTCCCGCATATCAAACATGGGCGTTTGTTTCCATAATTGGAAGCCTCAATATACTTAGACCTCAGCATGCTGCGATCCTTTGTTGGGGGGTTGGGATTCCCAACCCTAAGCCCTAAACCCTAACTATCAGAAACCTCCAGAGCCAGGGGTGTCCTCGAATAACATCCTAAACCCTGAGCCCTTAACCCTGAGCCATAAGCCCTAAGCCCCAAAGGTAGAGCAGAAAAGCTGTGAGAGAGCTCCGGCCATGGATGGTCACGGCATTGGTTTTACCAGGGTAGGTTTGGGTTGAGGGTTTATGGTGTAGGATTTAGGGGCTTAATAAGGATTAAGTTTCTACAGCTTTGTAAGGATTACATACGGATTAAGGATAGTAGAAAACACACATTATGTTGAAAGCTACCCCTAAGTCCACCACCCAGGGAGCCTTAAATCATACGAGGTACTGAGGTACCACGGTTCCCGAGCTTTAGGGGACGTAGGATCATGCAGGATTTTCAGGATCAACTCTGAGCCCTGGACAAGATGTATCCCCGTATCCAGTAATAGGCTTCCCTTTTGCGGGGTCTCGTACTTAAGGTTTAGGGGCCTAGGGCTTATGATAAAGATATAGACAATGATCCATATTGGGGCCCCCGCTCTGGGTAAGCGACCACACACTTTTTTTGAATATTCACCGTAGTGGTAGGTTGGTGCTTTATTGTCGTCAAACAAGACCTTTGGCTTCTGAAGCCGCCGCTCCAAAGAGCTACAATCAGCCCAGCTCAGGAAAACTGTACGCTTCAGGACTTTAGGGCTTAAGGTGCGCAACTTAAAACTTAGGATTTATTCAATCTAGGGCTGTAAGGCATATCAGAATTATCAGAACAAAGGCAATGAGATAAGAATACTATTGCAAATGCTTACTACCACTCGATCGAAAATCATGAAAACTGCGAAAGCCCCGCCAAACCCTTGACTTTACACCAACAAAAGGACCTGTCATGCCTCCGCCTGCCACGTCGCGTGATAGATAGTTTGCCCTAAACCCTAAATAGTAGTTTCCAGTTTCTTTTCCAATATCCCTTAAACCCTAAAGGGGGAGGACCAGCAACCTCAAAATTCAACCATCAGGGTAAACCAGAGCTTTGGACATTGCCGAGATTAAGGGGTTTAGGGCTTTGGGGGGTGCCAGACGAAGGTGTGCTGTGCGAGCGCGCTACTCTCCAGACTAACCCACCCCAAGACCACCTAATCATTACTCTCAGGGCCTTGAGATTTTCAACGATCTTCCAAACATGGCCTCGCGGCATCAAAGCGCGGCAAGGAAAGAAGCTGGGCTGGTCCCAGACTTACACAACCATGCACTCGCCATGCCTCCCATCACTCTCAGGGGTGTTGGCTGCTCTTCAAAATTACCTAACCATCCATACCGAAACGCATCAGAAATACTTTCGGGTTTGCAGTCGGGGACCGAAGGCCCCTTCAGCCATGTGTTCCGGTCTAGCTGTCCAAGCAAAATTTCACCATGACGTGAGGGGACGTTCTGGCTCAAGCAATAAGAGCGCGCTGACTACGCACATCTGGCTGAACGCACATCCATGAGACTTTTGGTTTTGCGTTGGCCCGAGGGCCTTTACAGATTCATCTCGCCCCGGGTCATGTGAGCTGCCACCAGAACTGGCTGGGTATTTCGCTCACACAAAAATAGGGTTTGCCTGTGGGAGCCTTCCCTTTGGACTTCTCATGGTTCCAGCCCACCCTGGGTCACTTCTTGCTGTCCGCCAGAATTTCTACGACACGTTGGGGGCGGGACTGGGAGTCAGTGAAAACTCGAGATGAGACTGGGAGACATGTGAGGCGAGGCCATGTGCTCCAGCCAGAACATGTCGCTAAATGCATCCACACAAAATTTAAATCGACGTGCGCGGACGTTCTGGCTCACATGATAAGAGCCCCCTGACTACATAAATCTGAGGGGAACAAGGAGTGTGGAGAAACGCTTGAAATGAGTTTGGGAGACATGTGAGGCGAGGCCATGTGTTGCAGCCAGAACATGGCGGTGAACGCGTCCAAGCAAAATTTACAGGTGGTGTGAGGGGACGTTGGGGCACACGCCCGGAGTAAGAGCGCACTGACCACGCACATCTGGATGAACGCACATCCACAGACTTTCGGGTTTGCGCGCGGAGACGATCTGGGCCGAAGGGCCTTTATAGATTCATCCCGCTCCGGGTCATGCGAGCTGCCACCAGATCTGGCTGGCTATTTCGCTGGAACAAATGTAAGGTTCCTCCGGCCCTCTCATGGTTCCAGCCGCTGTGGGTCACGTCCTTCTGCTCCAGAAGATGTCGCTGTCTGCGACAAGCAAAATTCAACGGCATCTGGCCTTAGGAGGCCTCCCGCACCCTCCCAGGGGCTTCCAAAGGCCCCGCCAAAAAACAAAAATGAGGGCCTGGAGGGGCTAGGGTCCAAGAATTCCGCCACCGGCCCCTAGGAAGCTTCTAGGGACCAAGAAATCGACAAAAATGGGCTCCGAACCACATCCCGGCCAAACACCCGGAACACGTTTTGCGCCAGATCGGCCTGGGTTTTAGGGTAAGGAGAATTTGCTGATTCGGCCTCTACTCAGTCGCCTGCCTGGGGCTCCTTCGCTGGGTCTCGCTGAGCGCTCGACCGACGCCCGCCTACCCCAAAAGACAAGTGAGAGGGGTGGCGGCCGGCTTTAGGGGTTTAGGGTTTAGGATTTGTCATAAACGTCTAGATCGACATTCTTGCACCACCCTATATACCCTAACACCCAAAAATATACAATGTAATCCAGAAATTCTTGAGTGGTGCAAGATTTCCCCAGAATCCGCCACAAGAACCTGATCTCAGTGACTGTGCAGGGGATTGGGGGAGGACCAGGCCCTAAATCCCAAGCCCTGTAAAGCTTAAACCCTAAACCCCTCCATCCTAAACCCTAAACCGCAAAGCGTCGAATCATCCACGGTGGTTGCGCCCTTGAGCGTCACCGCCCCAGTTCCAGAAGTGAACGTGTTGCTGCTTGACACCTGGGCCAGTGCATACAATACTTACCTTAGGTTAGCTGGCTAGAAGGAATGGATCCCTATAGTAGTCCTTATATAACCCATGCCTCAACCTCGCACTTGTGTATTCAAGTTGGCTTTTGCATCGCAGCGTGACTGCTTACTGTTGTATCATTCAAAATCAACAGCTGTGCCCCATTTCTGCGCAGCAGTCGCAGCACAGACGGTCTTGTGAGTCTTATTCTTATTCTTTCAAGTTTCAAGTACCAAGCTGCAATCGTGTTCCCGTTGAGAGTCACGGTGCCTGTGCCAGTTGTGAATTGCCCAGCGCCTGTGGCTGTCATGACCAAATTCCTGAGCACTGGGGCATATTCCATCCGCTGCCAGGATAACAGTTACTCACGTGTGTTTCCGTATTTAGGATTTGAGGTTTCACAATTTGGGCTTTATAGCTTTTAGAGCCATGGGATTTGAGACTAAACTCGGAACGTACACCTGATAATTTTGCAGTGTCTGGTAATATTTTGCTTCCAATCTAAAAGGGGTTGTGAGTCCAAAGCTGCCTGTGCCTTTGAAGTCCTCTTGAACCCCTAGTATGGCCCAACAAAGAAGACATTGTTTTAAATCTTAAGGGCTTCATTTTTGAGGTAACCCTAAACCCTAAACCCTAAGCCGTAGGACCATGTAGGAGTCGCACTATAGCGATGGGCAGGGCCGTGCAACAGTTGGGTTTGGGGCTCAGGGGTTTAGGGTTTAGGGTTTAGGGGAGAGATGTTTGGTACATCTGGTTGCTGTCAAGGAACTTAAACGAAGTTACCAGATTATGGGTATACTGCAGCATACTATATAGTAGAGAGTAGGGTTTCCTTACTAACTATAATAGTTCTTGTTAGTTATTTTAGTTTCCTTTACAGCCACTCAAACGTTGGGTAATACAAGTTTGCTGCTGGAAGCGCATACATTTGTGGTTACACGGTGGGTTTAGGCTTACATGTAGGTGGCACAACTATGGTTCTAACTGGGTATATCCTTCGTTGGTGTTCTTACACGGTGAATCTTCCTTCAGAGTACTGGAAACCCCCAGATTGAAAGCACATGCTTTCAGGGCCGTTCGCTGCACACAATTCCTTGCAGAATCTTATAGTCCCCCTTCAGTAAATAGAATATGGGGTATATGGGGATCTTATTATCACATACCCAGGCCATATTCTATCTAACTTGCTTAGAAAGGCTGCTCTTAACATGAGAGCTAATTCTGAGACCTGAACTGCTTGTTAAAACTCATTGGGAATCAAGGCTCAAACGTTACTTCCCGAGCTACCCCTACGGACACTGTGTGAGGGTATCTTTCTTTAGATCAGAGATAAATTCACCCAAAAAGTGTTCCGGGTCATTGGTTCCGCATCCTGTTACAATGGAACCTATCACTATTCGATATCAGTTAAAACACGGTTTAACCATTGATATCTCCATATTAAACTCAATCGCAAAACTAATGAACCATACGTTTAATAACACCCCGTTGAAACTGAACTAACATACATTCGCCACCCAATCAACACCTGTTATTAAAATCTGTTTAAACCCAATAGCATCTACTAAACAACAATTAAAAGTATACAACGAACTAAATCTAGTTGGCACCCATCTAAACCCCATTAAACCTAAGTCAAAATCACTGAAGCAGTGCTTAGCCCTAAACCCTAAACCCTAAATAGCAAGATGTACTTCTCGTTTTGAAGCCCTAATCCCTAAAATGGTGCGGTTCGCCTATCATTAGTCATGCGGGGGGGAGGGGCCGGGGACGCTGCACTAGTTAAGAGCGCAGATTATCACCCTGACTACCTACAGTTCGTATGGGCCAAAATAAAACTACCAAATTAGAGATAATTGCTACAAAGCTGTAGTAGACGTCAAAAGTTGCAGTAGGCATGCTATTACATGCTTCTACTGCTAACATTTCCTTAACCCAGTGATGCACACTGCCAACTTTGGTCGTGCATCTTGCCAGTGGCCACCGTGACGTGCCCATTCAGGTTAACGCTGTCTGTGCCAGTGGAGAAGGATGCTACCGCACCTCAATGAAGGTATGATCAAACTATCAAACTCTTGACCGGAAACAGTCTGCGGACATGCGTGGCGGGCATCGTAGCGCCTGTGACGTCGTTCTGCGCAAAGTTGCCGTTGAGTGTGAGGGAAGCTCCGTTCCCGGTACCTTGGAGTTTGCTTAGCTTACCCTAAGACCCAAATAATGGGGCTTTAGGACCCAAATACCATTAACAGTATAGTATTTATTTGGGCCCTAAAATCCGGTTATTTCCCAATATAATATAGTAGTTTCCATTTTATTTTCCATTATACCAATATAACCCCTACATAACCCCAACATATACCCATAATCGGATGATGTTAGCCCTCATGTCTTGGCTTCTGGCCGGTGTCGCCAACGACGACATTGCCATAAAGCGTTGTGGTACCACCAGACCCCGCCGAACCCACAGTCACTGTTCTCCTCGACTCACTCATTCTCCCTGGCTTCCGGATCCCGCAAAAACAATAATAGCTAGGAATAACAGTAGTAAAACCAAATGACTGCTGCCACTACCGCATGGCCATCACGAGACCTACCTTGATTCGGCGTTCGGAACACCGACGAATTTGCAGTAAGAATGACAACAGATATCGCCATGCTCCATGCCTGTCTGCCTGTCTCTGTTGAAGCGCCAAGAAGCGAGTCAGCAACCACCACGTTGCCATTGAGATCCACTTGGCCAGTGCCCGTTGAAAAGGTGTTTCCGCCAGAGATTGACGTAGAGCCACCAATGGTCACCCTGGCGGGGCTCAGGGCTCAGGGTATGGAGAGAGCCTTCATGAACAACTTCGACCCAACCAATTGAAGTCACGTCTCATGTCAGGCACAACTTGCACTCTAGACAGCAACGGGACACATTGATGCCAGTCTGGTAAAAACTCTCCCTCACTTCTCGCACAGGAACAACTTGCACTCTAGACAGCAACGGGACACATTCATGCCAGTCGGGTAAAAACTCTCCCTCACTTCTCGCACAGGATAATCACCCTAGGGATCCAAAAAGCCCGATGTAGGTAATAGTTACCTACAGACTTTAGGGCCCAATGTAAGTCTTATTTGTTTACTTGGATCCCTGGGGTCAGTCATGATCGGACAGTTGAGGCCGGAACGTGCCAGTCGAGGTGAGGAAATTCCCTGGGGAAGCGCAGGGTGCAGCCCGTGCTGCTGTTCAAGAGCAGGGTGGACTCTGAACTACAGGGAATAGCGGCCTTTTTGACCATTTGTGAGGGGTTTTGGGCCATCACGTTACCCTTCGTTGAGGTTACCCTAAACCCTAAATCCTAAACCCCCTAAAGCCCTAAACCGTTTGCTGCACAGATGACGCGCTTCAGAGTTTACCATTAGGTTGGTTCTACAGGATAATGTCCAAGCACAAAAACCTGGTTTAGAGTTTGTTTAAGGTCCAGGGTTTAGGGGGTTTAGGGTTTTCCTCTTCTTCAGGGCGCTTCTAGCATATGAGGTACCATTACGGGGGTCCCTATAAAAAGGATTATAGAATTTTGGGCTCAATGTTGGGGCCCCCCGATTGTGGGACAGTACCATGTGAGTTACAGCCATATTTCCTGCATAATTGTCTGGACATGGGTGACTATATGAGGCACTAACAAAAGGGACTGCCCGCTGTCCACCCTTAAAGGTCCCTTGGTGAGGGTATTCTTGACAATAGCTCCATTGGCACGCGTTGAATAGGAACACCAATTTGCGCGACTGTGGGGCCAGGACCTACTCCTCCCTACTGCCTTTGCTGATTCTGCGAACCCTGAACTCTAAACCCCAAACCCGCAAAACCCTAAAGCCCAAATAGAGACTATTACAGGTGGGTAGTTTACGGGTGGGTCTCCTATAGGCCTTCCATACCACTCCTATGCGATATTGGGGGCTTCAGGGGAATCCTTGTGGCAGTATCATGGGAACTACCCACCCGTAAAGTACACACCTGTAAAGGGCTCCTACCAAACCCCAAACTCCAAACCTCAAACCCCTAAACCCTCTACCCCAAAACCTGAACCCCAAACCCCAAACCCCTAAACCCTACCTGGACCCCAAAAGTAGATAACATAGCCCCAAACCACCAGAAAAAAAAAGAAGATATTAGTTGACATACTTTTGCGGTTCAGGTATACACTGAACCCTATACCCCAAAGCCAAATGGAATCCTGTCCTGAGCTTGCACTGGCATCAAAATGGCCAGCACTCAGGGTGAGCCCACTGTCAACCTTGGCTGGCCACGCCAAAGCTGGCACTGGGAATATTTAGGGCTTAGGGTTTAGAGTTTTAGAGTTTGGGGTTTATGGTTTTGGGTTCAAGGGTTAAAGGTTTGCAGGGAATAAGGGGGCATCTTAGAGTTTTATAGGGATAACGGGATAACAGAAAAGAAAATGGAAACTACTGTTCAAGGATGTTCAAGGTTTAGGGATTGCATAGGAAATGAGGGAGTATAGTGAGGTTATATAGGGATAATGGGAAAGAAAGGAAACTAATACGCTATAACGGGGTATATATAGGGATATAGTAAGGAATACGGGAACATAGGGTTTAGGGTTTCGGATTTTAGGGGTTAGGGTTTCAGGGTTCAGGGTTTGTAGAACATGGAATATGTCAAGGAACATTTTACAGGGATTATACAGGGATTGTAGTCCCTTGTTTCCTAGTACCCCCCAGTAAGCAAAGCTGGCACGGTGAGGCTAGGACGAAGCAGGCGAAGCACGCGTGGCAATAGCTGCTGCACCAGGGGGCAGCAGTATGGGAGCAATAGCAGAAGCAGCAGCAAGTGGACATGCAGCAGCAGCGGCGCAGCAGTTGGTTTCTTATCAGAGGAGGCTACCGGTGGTCATGAGTACGCTTAGGGTCGTTGCAGTATTTTGCAGCGTCCGTTTGGCTGCCACCACACACGGAATGCATCTCAGATTTCTAGAGCGGTTCCTCAAGCTGCCACGGTAGAAGCCGCAGTCTGAATTGACAAATCTGCATCTGCAGCATGTAATACTACTATTGCTATTGTTACTTGCCAGACTGGCGTTCCTACAACAAAAACCAAAACATGTTGAGATCAACTGTCCAGGTCACCGTGAGAGTGGGCAGCGTTGTGCTTGTGAATGCCAGCCTGAAGCAAGCAGCAAATGCTGTGCGAAGTGATTCTGTGTGAAATATGCCTCGCACGAAACAACGACTCTGATCCGAGCTTCACGCCAAATTCCTGTAGAATTGTCAGTTGCAGGAATAGGAACCAAACTTTACATGCAATCTGGGCCCGATCTGGACCCTGGCTACGCCATGCATGCTTGGTCTCCGACTTGTTGGTGACGGCCATGACACCGGCGGCTCCGCAATAGGCTGTCACGTGGCTGGCTGGCGGAACCTTGAGGAGTTGTCTGCTCTGGAACTTGTCGACGCTTGCGAGGCAGAATTCTTAACAGTAATGGGAATAACAGCTATAACAGCAATAAAAATAATAATAATACTACCTTCAGCACTCGTACTTGGGTACTGCCCCCACCCAGTAACAGTCTATATTAGGACAGTCTATATTAGGGGTCCTATTAACGGCTATATATACCCATGTTATAAGTATTATCACCCAAACTAGTACTGACTTGAGAAGATCATGAAGTAGTGTTTGCAAACAAGCGAAGGAGCCTTGTAGGTGATCCCGCTGCCACTATTGTCGGTGACGCTGACGGTGTAGGTGTTGTCTACGTTGATGAAGCTGTACTGCCACACCTGCTGCCAATGGGATGCCATAACACCCCCTAAACCTCTAACCCCTAAAACCCTGATCCCTAACCCTCCTTAAAACAAGCGAATTTGCGGGAAGAAGGTTCCTCAAAGTCCGTGGCCGGGGGTCCCCTTACAGCCCCTACGCTATGCCCCTTTAGAATCCCCTATAGAACCACCTTTCAGGAGTTTTGACAATAGCTCATACGCAAAAATACCCTACACAATCCCAGTTTCCATTTTATGTTCCATTCTCTTTTCCATTTGACTTTCCATTATTGGGATATATGACCCTAAACCCTTACCCTATCTAACGTTGAAGAACCTTATACAACCTTATATAACCCTATATATCCTTATATAACCTTATAT